TGCACGTATGAGGCTCCACACACCTGCACGCATACCTGGTCCTTGCAGGTATAACGTCACATGTTTTGTTACCTTTCGTGCTGTATACAACTTTAAGAAGGATTCGTGTTCTTATGTAAGTCTCTGGTGGCGTAATAAACTTGCCTCTATTCAGTTTGTCACGAAATTCTTGTTAAATCATAATTTCTCTGCGTCATGGCCAGAGATTGAGAAGGTTCAATTATCTAACTTCTAAAATTTGATAGATTTGCCATAGCAACTAGAGGGCTTTATTGAACTTCTTATAGCAACTTTATGTGTATTTGTGTGTGAGGCTGCGAGTGAGCTCACATATTTATGCCTGCAGGATGGAACTTCAGCTCGTGGACCCCGCCTTTTCCTGCCGTCGGTTGTCTTATGTAATGGCTCCCGACCTATTTTTTCTATCGTATTTTCTTTGGAAATTATATAATATAGTTGACCTACAACGTGGCAAAGTGGTTCATCCCATTTGTCCTATTTAGTGCAGGGACGGAAGAGGTTGATAGATGTTAATCTTCTTGTTTGAGGAGCTGTTCACTTGAGACAGTTAAGCAAGTCCCAGCTGTGTCTGGGTACAAGTGACAGGATGAACAACCCAGCGGGTTTTCTTCCTATTGGGGAGTGTTGTACATACTGCTATGGCGGTGTGTCCACTCACAAGATGAGTGGCGCCGCCCAATAAACTCGCCCCTCGGGGCAAAATTTAAAAAAATATAAGGACTTATATTTTGGCCTGATGGCCAGAAAGCATCCTTGTCTTTGGGCCTGGCTGTGATGCACTGTTGACTCCATGCAGTGACTAAGTTAACCAATAAAGTTGATCCCTAATGGAAACTGATTGAATGTTCATCAAAGAAATGGCAAGTTTTCGATGATCAGCTGATTCAGGATAGCAGCTTTTAGCTTATTGTTTCATTAAAGCCGTCAATGCCGTTTCGAAGAACCATAGTCTTAGTTTTGGAGAGAGAGAGAGAGAGAGAGAGAGAGAGAGAGAGAGAGAGAGAGAGAGAGAGAGAGAGAGAGAGAGAGAGAGAGAGAGAGAGAGAGAGAGAGAGAGAGAGTCAGTCTTTGTGTGTTTGTGGGGGGGGGGGGAGGTGGAAAAGACCTACCTGCCTGCTCTCCCCCCCCCCCACCCCCCCCCGCCTGGCCCTCCCACCTCGATAATTTAACCCGGATCAAGTGACACGAGAAACATGTTACTTGGGCGGCTATGTGACCCACACGCTCAGAGAGCTGTGCCCAATATATTCCTAGCCAGCTGTGTTCCCAGCCCACAGTGCGCCCAGCACACTTAACATCTCCAAGACGGGCCAAGACGGACACCAAAAGACGCAACAAATTGCTCAAATTGAGACTAAAATTAAAATCATTGCAGCGTAACTAAAAAAAAAAACCTCAAACGCCAAGATTTCCGGGTTTTCTTCCTTCACGGGGCTACAGTGGTGCGTCGGGAAGTGTCAATACGTGTCAATAAGTGTCAAGTGACAGCATCACGCCCGTGTATGAAGGCCTATGAGACCGACCCAGTATGGCACACTAGCATTATCTGGATGATAATTGTACCCCATCCTCATCCCCCATCATTACCACCGTCATCATAGTCATCATCATCACCTTTACCATATCATTATCATCACTGTGCTCAAGAGGCATCGATATAAACGCTAATCTAATAAGGGTTTATTGACTTACCAATGGGAAAAGGAAACAATATTGAAGAAAATAGGAACTAATAGCAATACCGAAGAAAATGGGAACTTTGTTCAGTATTAGCAAAAAAAAGAGAGGAAAATAGGAACTAATAGCAATACCGAAGAAAATGGGAACTTTGTTCAGTATTAGCAAAAAAGAGAGGAAAATAGGAACTAATAGCAATACCGAAGAAAATGGGAACTTTGTTCAGTATTAGCAAAAAAAAGAGAGGAAAATAGGAACTATTAGCAATACCGAACGAAATGGGAACTAGTACCAATTATGTCAGCAAAACGTAATAAATAACAGCAATAGAGACAGAATAAAAGAGAACAGGTTAATACATAGAGAAATCCTGAAACATATCTGATTAACGCCTTACATCATTATTATTAACACATTCAGGTACATCTGCATTTGTGAAGTAGGTAAGGGGAGTACAGAGTGTGTCAAGAACTAGCTACCCTAGACTATATGAAGCAGAGTACAGTGTGTGTCAAGGACTAGCTACCCTAGACTATATGAAGGGGAGTACAGTGTGTGTCAAGAACTAGCTACCCTAGACTATATGAAGCAGAGTACAGTGTGTGTCAAGGACTAGCTACCCTAGACTATATGAAGGGGAGTACAGTGTGTGTCAAGAACTAGCTACCCTAGACTATATGAAGCAGAGTACAGTGTGTGTCAAGAACTAGCTGCCCTAGACTATATGAAGGGGAGTACAGTGTGTGTCAAGAACTAGCTGCCCTAGACTATATGAAGGGGAGTACAGTGTGTGTCAAGGACTAGCTACCTTAGACTATATGAAGCAGAGTACAGTGTGTGTCAAGGACTAGCTACCTTAAACTATATGAAGCAGAGTTCAGTGTGTGTCAAGGACTAGCTACCTTAGACTATATGAAGCAGAGTACAGTGTGTGTCAAGAACTAACTACCCCAGACTATATGAAGGGGAGTATAGAGTGTGTCAAGGACTAGCTTCCCTAGACTATATGAAGGGGAGTACAGTGTGTCAAGTACTAGCTACCCTAGACTATATGAAGGAGAGTACAGTGTGTATCAAGAACTAGCTACCCTAGACTATATGAAGGGGAGTATAATGTGTGTAAAGGACTAGCTACCCTAGACTATATGAAGGGGAGTACAGAGTGTGTCAAGGACTAGCTACCCTAGACTATATGAAGGGGAGTACAGTGTGTGTCAAGAACTAGCTACCCTAGACTATATGAAGGAGAGTACAGTGTGTATCAAGAACTAGCTACCCTAGACTATATGAAGGGGAGTATAATGTGTGTCAAGGACTAGCTACCCTAGACTATATGAAGGGGAGTACAGAGTGTGTCAAGGACTAGCTACCCTAGACTATATGAAGGAGAGTACAGTGTGTGTCAAGAACTAGCTTCCCTAGACTATATGAAGAGGAGTACAGTGTGTGTCAAGAACTAGTTACCCTAGACTATATGAAGGAGAGTACAGTGTGTGTCAAGGACTAGCTATCCCTAGACTATATGAAGGAGAGTACAGTGTGTGTCAAGAACTAGCTTCCCTAGACTATATGAAGAGGAGTACAGTGTGTGTCAAGAACTAGCTACCCTAGACTATATGAAGGAGAGTACAGTGTGTGTCAAGAACTAGCTTCCCTAGACTATATGAAGAGGAGTACAGTGTGTGTCAAGAACTAGTTACCCTAGACTATATGAAGGGGAATACAGTGTGTGTCAAGGACTAGCTACCCTAGACTATATGAAGGGGAGTACAGTGTGTGTCAAGGACTAGCTACTCTAGACTATATGAAGTGGGAGTACAGTGTGTGTCAAGAACTAGCTACGAGAGGCTACAAAGTCCCCATCACACAGGATGATTAGTCATACAAAGGCATGTGATCAGCAGTCCACACTTGCAAACTCAGGATGCATTGTGAGTGTCCTTGATGATAAGGACACTCAAGTCCATATCAACAAGGACACGAGAGTGAATAACGTAATTGCAAAGCTCCAGGTACCTCATACTGGCAGGTCTGAAAGGTCTAGTTGACCGTCATCAAGGTTAAAACTGCAACAAAAACAGTTCCAGCAAAATCCACAACCACAACTCGTTTTAAAACAGAGACCAGGAAACAGAAGCTACACCTGCACTCGATTCCTCTGAGGGCAGGTCAGAAGAAGGGATGACGGGAGAGAGGAAGCGAGAGGGATGTCTTGTAGCGACGACAACAGTGAGTACAGGCAACAACAGGCGCAGGCAGAGTGACGAGTGTCGCAAGCAGCAACAGCAGCAGTGTACAGTGCATCACAAGTAGGTGGTGCTTCGTAAGCAACAGCAGTAGGTGGTGCTTCCAGCACCAGCAGTACACTGGAGTGAAGCTCTTATGATACAAGAGCTAAACAGTAGTAGGTGGTGCTGTGTAGAACAGAGGTTTAGTTCAGGTTTGCTTCCTACACTGGAGTGAAGCACTTATGATACAGGAGCTAAACCTGTGTAGAACAGAGGTTTAGTTCAGATTTAACACAGCTAAACCCTGTGTGAAACAGGTTTAAAATCCGTTGTGAAATATACAATTTGCTGAGCACTGAAGCAGTTGACAGCTGTTACCCATTCTTCTTGAGAATACATGATACTTATACAATGTTTACAGCCAAAATTCTCTGAACAAAATATAACAATTGTGTAAACTAGACACAAGCACGACAGGGTATACAGAGCAGGCATGCTGCAACAGGTGCAACGGAAAAGTGGCACTATTGTATAGCCGTCGGCAGAACAAACACCCCCCAAGTGTACACGAGTCATTAGCAGCCACACCTGGCGCCATGGCGACGCAATCACTCACACCTACAGAGCCACACCTGCCGTGATGGGAACGCAACCACTCACACCTACAGGGCCCACACTTACAAAGTGCCGCTAACTGCTTTCCTATTTCTCTTTATCTGACAGCTCCCTCATCACGAATGATGCGGAAGGCTGACGGTCGTGTATTATTTCGTTGGGGAGAGTGTGAAACACCTTCTGGTTAGGACCATTTCCGTCAACCACTATATCACGGCATATTTATATATATATACACACACATATATATATATATATATATATATATATATATATATATATATATATATATATATACACACACACACATATTCATTTTTAACTTACTTTTTATATATTTCCATTGTCTTGGCCGGATTATTTATAATACGTATATGTTTAATGTTTGAACGGTTTATCAATGACTTTTTGCAAATGTTTGCTGAGTAAATGTTTAGGATTACATAATAACAAACATCCTGGAGACAAACAGTTTATTGTAAAGCATAAATTGGAAATTACTCCACGTTAGCTTTATCTCCCTGGTACTGGCACGAAGAATTCACTCACACTATATACAACAAATAAATCTCATACATACAATATTTACATATAAATTATTCTGCATTATTTACAAACATGTACAAATTATGGCACACATAGGAACTTTGGGCAGACCTTCATGGGACTGAGGCCTGGAGGGGGTGGGGGGGGGAAGGGCTTTTCATGGGGCTGGTGCTGAGGCCAGGGGGGGTAAGAGGGCCTTCATGGGGCTAAAGCCAGGGGGTGCGGGGATGGCCCTTCATGGGGGCAGAAAAAGACAAGGGGATGACCTTCATAGGGAAGCGAAGACCAAAAAAGTAGAAAAAACACAATAAACAATGAAAACAACTTCAAGAACAATAAACAGTTGACGGTGAGAATCAAGTGAACACAACAGTATATGTAAAACACTACACTACAGTAACCTTGTTATCTTTGTTTAACGTCCAAGAAAGATTCCAATTGCGTGTTGTATAGACAACGAGAGTAAATAACAGATGAATATCATCCACGTAACATTGAGGGACAAATGGAAGCTTTGTACACATCCCAAGAAAGAAAAATATATATATATACTATTTATATACTTAAATAAATTATTGGACTTTGGATTCCTTTTTTTAACATTTTTAGATGAATATTTTCGCCATAGAAGTGAATTCACCGATACTGAACTATAGCACAGTAAACTACATCCAGTGATCAAATGCTGAAGTTTGACCGATGACCGACCGATGGAACATTTGGGATATACGCTATTAATATCAGCATCACTCAGGATATATATATATATATTGCATGTCGGGCTATACCAGGGGAATGGCTGGAAGGATATCAGACCCTACGTATTCACACTGAGGAGACTGGCTCAGGGACGGCGAGGAGCGCTGGAGTATTATTTCCTGACCAACTTCTTTGGAGACATTCGGAAAACGGGGCGGTGACATGAGCTGCAGGTGACGGTGGTCCTGGAGGCCAGGACGTGGGAGTGTTTCTGCTTGAAGTAGAGGTTGACTGGCAGGGAATAGAGGCGAGGGAAGGAGGAGGACGAGGATTGTGACTGGCAGGGGAGGACTGGAAGATGAGGCTGCAGACAGGGATGGACAGGGAGGTGAAGAGGCTGGAGACAGGCAAGGACAGAAGATCACCGAGATGTACTGCGCCTCTTGGAATGGCAGAACCCCCCTACATGCGAGTGCTGAAGAGCAGAGACGAGGAAGACTGTGTTTGGGGAGCAGCAGGAACCAGAACTACTGAGTTTCCGCCTCATTTTCCACGTCGAGTTCTTCCTCTTCCTCATGCTCGAGTACGAGTCCCTCCTCCTCACCCTGCTTCTCTTCGGCCTTTCTCTCTCCTCCCTCGCCGCCTTCGTCTTCTTGCTGCTGCCGTTTGTGCTTTGTTCTTCGGTTCTGAAACCAAACTTTGACCTGCAGAAGAGAGAGAAAATACGGTTAGGATTCGAGTTCATTTCGGAACTCTACTAACATTCACGGACATAAAATTGGGAATGGAAAATCTGAAGGAAACCAAGCCATAAAATAAGTGGTTATTAGATCCTGCATATATGTATGTACTTTAACTGAATAAAATATTATTATTATTATTATTATTATTATTATTATTATTATTATAAGGTATCACTAGCTCTCCCGCAAATCACTTGCACGCGTCAAATTATTTATACGAAAGCTCACTGAACATAATTATATAATTTTGAGAGGATATAAGAGAGAGCAGGACCCCAAGTCCCTGTATCCTATAGAGCTATAAAATGGTAATGCAACGTTTCACTGGCCAGGATATGTCTGTGTTTTAGATGTATCTGATAACTTTTCAAAAACTCGAGAATCAAATGTGAAAGAGAAATCTACATTCTCCTGAACATCATATAGTACAATGACTCATACTAACATAAAGATATCACAAGAGCTTAATATATCCATGCGATACTACTGAAGTTATGCAGCGGGATCGAACTTGCGTTCGATCTTGTGTGACAGTGATCTTGAACCCCGTCTATGTAGAATAAACTAAAATGTCAACTGGTTATCGCTGTGGTGAATAGCCACTTTTGTGGCTAGAAAATTGACAGAAACATTGCAGTAGGCCTATTGGCACATGCGAGGCAGGACCTCCCGAAAGGCAGGTTCCCGTTTGAGACAGGTTCCCGTATGAGACAGGTTCCCGTATGAGACAGGTTCCCGTATGAGACAGGTTCCCGTATGAGACAGGTTCCCGTATGAGACAGGTTCCCGTATGAGACAGGTTCCCGTATGAGGCAGGACCTCATCGAAGCATATTCCTTCAAGTTCCGTTTCAACTTATTCTTTGAAACTCTCCAAAAGTATTCAACTCGATGACACTGCTGCTTGGCTCCATTGTTCCACTGAGCCGAGGATCTCCTATATTCCTCATGAATCTAAATAGTTCCAATTTGCTTTATTGTAATCAGTTTGCCTTTTTTATGGGTTTGTTTATGTTTTAATTTACATCATGGGATTATATCCCCCCCCCCCCCGTGTTCATCCTGTGTCTCATGAGAAAAGCAGAAGCATCCAAAACTTGAGTTGGAGTCAATAGTGACGTCAATCATGACTTGTTGTCAACAAACATCTCGTGCCCATATATATATATATATATATATATATATATATATATATATATATATATATATATATATATATATATATATATATATGCACCAGAGGTGGTACCCTCACAACTTTTTATATATATATATATATATATATATATATATATATATATATATATATATATATATATATATATATATATATTATATATATATATATAGAGAGATATAGAGATAGAGAGAGAGAGAGAGAGAGAGAGAGAGAGAGAGAGAGAGAGAGAGAGAGAGAGAGAGAGAGAGAGAGAGAGAGAGAAAAAAAAAAAAATTTTTTAGGTTAGGAAAGGATAACACAGGTTAGGACAGTGAGGTTAGGAAACGTTCAGTTTGTCTGAAGAGTAGTGATGAAGGTGACAAGTTGTACTTTCTCGGGTTGTAGACATTACTCAGGAAAGCATGACTTTGTTCCTCCAGTATACGCCAGCATCACAAGGTGCTCTCCCTCCCTCTCTCCTTCTCTTCCTCCCTCCCTCCCTCCCTCTCTCTCTCTCTCTCTCTCTCTCTCTCTCTCTCTCTCTCTCTCTCTCTCTCCCCTCCTTCCATCTGGCACCGTTGGCACTCCGCTCCGTAACCAGCTGCCATCACCGAATAAGTCAGTTTTAAACTCAAGTTCAAACATTTTATTCATAAATGTCTGTTTAATGCATTCATAATTGGGTTAGTTTATGTAAGTTTACAGTGAATTATTTACCCAAAAAAATTGCACGGCATTAAGCGTGGTCGTTGGTACGACCACGCACGAAACACTGTGCGTGTTAGTGGCTTTGCATGAATGTAAAAATACCAATTCTATGTAACCTCACCAGCCCATATTGTCCCTTCGTGTAAATAAATTATAATTATTATTATTATTATTATTATTATTATTATTATTATTATAGGTAGTGGAGGGAGGAGGTTTGGTTAGAAGGGCGTAGGTATGGAAGGAAGGAGGTGTGGAAGGGCAGGAAGGTGTGGAACCAGGTGTGTAGGGGAGATGTGGGTATGGCCCTTTCCACTACCGATCACAGGATGGGTATTGGGAGCATAATAAAGAAAGAAATGGAAGTGGTAAGGTCGGAGGAAGAAGATGGTGTGGGTGTTCTTAGTAAATAGTGAAGAGCAATTTTAAAGAATCCATATAATAATAATAATAAAGAATGCCAAAACAATATTAAAGAATATAATTATAATATGAAATAATATAAATATACAACCATATTAATATTTAATTAAAGTATAAAGGTACAGTAATATTATATATATATATATATATATATATATATATATATATATATATATATATATATATATATATATAACTGAAAACTCACACCCCAGAAGTGACTCGAACCCATACTCCCACAACTGGTATGTACAGGGACGCCTTAATCCGCTTGACCATCACGACCGGACAAAAGGAAGTGATAGCCGAGGCTATATGAACCACTTCCCCGCCGGCACTCGGATGGTAATCTTGGGCATAGCATTTTATCAAATCACCTCATTCTTTGGGGCACACCTGAGGATCACAAATGCAAACAAGCCTGAATGGTCCCCAGGACTATATACAACTGAAAACTCACACCCCAGAAGTGACTCGAACCCATACTCCCACAACTGGTATGTACAGGGACGCCTTAATCCGCTTGACCATCACGACCGGACAAAAGGAAGTGATAGCCGAGGCTATATGAACCACTTCCCCGCCGGCACTCGGATGGTAATCTTGGGCATAGCATTTTATCAAATCACCTCATTCTTTGGGGCACACGTGAGGAACACAAATGCAAACAAGCCTGAATGGTCCCCAGGACTATATACAACTGAAAACTCACACCCCAGAAGTGACTCGAACCCATACTCCCACAACTGGTATGTACAGGGACGCCTTAATCCGCTTGACCATCACGACCGGACAAAAGTCCTTTTGTCCGGTCGTGATGGTCAAGCGGATTAAGGCGTCCCTGTACATACCAGTTGTGGGAGTATGGGTTCGAGTCACTTCTGGGGTGTGAGTTTTCAGTTGTATATAGTCCTGGGGACCATTCAGGCTTGTTTGCATATATATATATATATATATATATATATATATATATATATATATATATATATATATATATATATATATATATATATATATATATAGTATATATAACTATACTATACATATATTACTAACCGATACATTAACAAGAACATCTGCCCCCACACGAGCACATGAAGTTAAGAGCCATAAGGACCTAACTGCATCACATTAAATAAGCTTCATTGTTGCCTTCTTTCCAAGACCGAACCCCCCCCCCCCTAATGTGTTCTCTCAGCGTCACTGTCTCTCTCCTCCTCTTCTCTCTCTCTCTTCTCTCCTTCCCTAATGTAACCCCACATCCCCCTCTTCAAGCCTACTGTGGCCCCTATTCTACTATCAACCCCCCCCCCTATTTCCCCTCCCCTACTGTAACCTTCCCTAACATTGCTGAACAGAGAGCATGAACGGGAAGAAGTGATGATACGAGTAGAGGAATGAATAACTGATGAATAGGGAGAATGATGAAAGAGAGGATAGACAGACGGATAATTAGACGAGCGAGCCAAGACAGAAGGAACAAGCTAAGACGTTGAACGAAGCCGAATAGAAAAAAATGTGTCGCTCGATCACTAGTCAACGATAGTGTCGGAACTCTCATGGTACTGGGGTAGGTACTTGGGTCGTATGGTAAGTGCTCGCCTGTGGCCCTCTTCCCCCGTCTTAGTGAGCTTCTTTGAAGGCTTTTAATACATTTGTTTATTGTGATATATATATATATATATATAATGTCAGACCAAGAAGGGAGGATTAAGACAGAAGATTCCTTCAACTACTCTCGTATTTAATAATACGTCTTCATCCTTCTGAAGATGTATCATTAAATGCGCAAGTACTTAAGGAATTTCCTGTCTTAATCCTCCCTTCTTGGTCTGACATTATCACATTGCTCACCACGTGTTAATTTCTTCGATATAAAATATAATAATCTATATAATGTTACAATTATTATTATTGTTAATATTATTATTATTATTAAGTTAATGAACCATTTTATCATATTTTTTTTACCGGTGATTAATATAAACGTCACATAATGACTCCAAGTCAACTTCTAACACCATCTAGACGTTATCTAGAGATGACTTCGGGGCTTTAATGTCCCCGCGGCCCGGTCCTCGACCAGGCCTCCACCCCCAGGAAGCAGCCCGTGACAGCTGACTAACACCCAGGTACCTATTTTACTGCTAGGTAACAGGGGCATCAAGGTGAAAGAAACATTTTGCCCATTTATCCATATGGATAAATCTAGCATATCCTGGCAACGCGAATATAGAGCATATAGAGAGAATATAGAACACCAACGGTATATAGAGCAACGTATTATTGTTCTGTGGTATTTGTAAAATTCTTTTCAAGTTCAAACAGACTGCTTGAACGATGGATCTGGAGCGGCGCAATTTAAAGTATATATTATTGAATTTTATCTAATGCCAAAATATGCGATAAAATTCTTAAAATAATTTTTTTTATTAAGGTTAACATATATTTAGATAATATGTTAACACGTAGATTAACGCGTTAAGAACTTTCATAGTTCTATAAGTGAAAATAACAATAGCCAATACTTCAACATTTAATAAATGTAATAAAATCTCTTAAAAAATAAGATCTTTAATGATGCAAATATTACGAAAGTATATGTATTAATTATAGAACAACACACTACGGAATGATGGAAGAACGCACCATGAACCACAGCGCCGCCACAATAACAATAAATCACAGCGCAGCAGACTCTGGAGCCTGTACTAGTCAATTAAGGATTGAGAAGCGGGGCCCAAGAGCCACAGCTCAATCTTCACAAGCACAACTTGGTGAGCAGCCCCCGATATTGCTTTCAATAATGCTAGATCCTGAGCACCTCCAAGAAGACAGTAACAGACCACAGCACCTCCAAGAAGACAGTAACAGACCACAGCACCTCCAAGAAGACCAGTAACAGACCACAGCACCTCTAAGAAGACTGGTAACAGATCACAGCACCTCCAAGAAGACCAATAACACACCACAGCACCTCCAAGAAGACCAATAACAGACCACAGCACCTCCAAGAAGACCGGTAACAGACCACAGCACCTCCAAGAAGACCAGTAACACACCACAGCACCTCCATGACAATAAGCCATGCGACCCACAATAAATACATAAGAGTCCATGACACCTGTCAATACATCCATAAGAGTCCATGACACCTGCCAACACATCCATAGAGACCATGACACCTGCCAACACATCCATAGAGTCCATGGCACCTGCCAACACATCCACAGAGACCGTGACACCTGTCAACACATCCATAGAGTCCATGACACCTGTCAACACATCCATAGAGTCCATGACACCTGCCAACACATCCACAGAGACCGTGACACCTGCCAACACATCCACAGAGACCGTGACACCTGTCAACACATCCATAGAGTCCATAACACTTGTCAACACATCCATAGAGTCCATAACACTTGTCAACACATCCAATAACAACACCATACACTTCATCCCTGCAGGTCAAGCAAGCAGGGATGAAGAGAGAGAGAGAGAGAGAGAGAGAGAGAGAGGAGAGAGAGAGAGAGAGAGAGAGAGAGAGAGAGAGAGAGAGAGAGAGAGAGAGAGAGAGAGAGAGAGAGAGAGAGAGAGAGAGAGAGAGAGAGAGAGAGAGAGAGAGAGCGTATGGGACATGCCTCACTAACCTCGGACGAAATAGCTGGGTGATGCAGGGTGCTTGATTTTAATAGCGAGTAAGAGTGGGAATTATTCCCATTTTCCACCTCCTGCGATTTGACCACAATGCACCGGCGTTCTGGTCGAGTGGGAAGCGTGTCACTGAGTCAGCCGGTTTTGGGAGAGATAATTTTGGTGGTTGAGGAAGTGGGGGGGGGGTGGAGTGGGTGGTTAAATGAGCTGGGGTGAAGTTTGAATTTGAAATGCTAACCTTAAGATATATAGAATGTGACCTAAGCAAAATTTACAACACTATTTATATATATATATATATATATATATATATATATATATATATATATATATATATATATATATATATATATATATATATATATATATCTGTGTGTGTATGTGTAAATCATAAAAATTAACACGTGATGAAAAATGTGAGTGTCGACTACAAAGGAAGAATTGAAACAGGAATTTCCTTAAGTACTTTCAGGTACTTTTGTATATAATAATACATCTTCAGAAGGATCTTGAGAAGGAGGATTCCATCTTCAGAAGGAATATATATATATATATATATATATATATATATATATATATATATATATATATATATATATATATATATATATATATATACACATTTTCCCCCCACATTACTGATCAAAAAGTGTCGCCAAGGTAGTTTCTAACTAGTAGTGTCCCCTCTGTGTTAAGTGAGGGGGGGGGAACCTGATGAGACGTTGAGAAGAACTAGTATAGGGGGAGGACCCCTTAAAAGAGCTGGGGGAAAGGGAGGTGGCCGTGGGTTTGAGTGGGTGTGGGCGTGGCTTTAAGCAGATCATGGGCGTAGGTTAGGATGGGCGTGGGCGGTGGGGGGGGGGGTATGTACAGGTAGATGATGAGTCAAGCTTTCGTCACAAATTAGCCGGCTAGCAGCGTAGGCTTCCCTTGTAGGACCGTGGCGCCCAAGATTTTAGTGTACTACGGTGTGGCGCCAAGGCTCCCAGTCTACGGGTGTGTGCCCCCCGCCACAGCTCTCAGTGTAGGGTGTGGCGTCGACTACAAGACTTAACTCCATTGCGATAATTAACACAAAAATTCCAATGACAATTGCATACAAAGATAAACACTAAACTGTCTTTCAAGAAAAAACACGTCTAATTATGAGCTCCGGAGCGGACTGTGCCAGCTGATGGAAGTCGTGATATTTACCTCTCTCTCTGAGAGACTGAGAGACTACATCAACTGCTGCAAGTCGTGACATTTACCTCTCTCTCTCTCTCTCTGAGAGACTACATCAACTGCTGCAAGTCGTGACATTTACCTCTCTCTCTCTCTGAGAGACTACATCAACTGCTGCAAGTCGTGACATTTACCTCTCTCTCTCTCTCTGAGAGACTGAGAGACTACATCAACTGCTGCAAGTCGTGACATTTACCTGTGTTTCTGAGAGGTTGAGGGACTGCGCCAGCTGCTTCCTCTCGGCGCCCACCACGTACTGGTTCTTCTCGAAGGCTTGCTCCAGCTTCAGCAGCTGACTCGGGCTGAACGCCGTCCGGATCCTCTTGGGCTTGCGGAAGGGCAGCAGGAACGTGGGGAAATCGTGGCCTGTGGAACGCACACACTCGTCAACAACCCACGAATGACAGGCTGAGGTAGCTAATTGCCTAAGTCGAAACTCTAGTAATGTCTGATTTCCTATAAGTAATTCTCAGAAGGCACCAAGCCGGGGAGACTGAAGTATTTTCCTATAAATATTCATATATTTTATTTAAATATATAAGTGACCTACCCTACTCACTACAAATAATAATTCACCATTGCAGGTGTTCACAATCAACGATATATAACATTTAACATATATATTATTTTACACAGCCGAAGTAAATTATATATATATATACATATCGGAGGTGCATGACCGCGTGATTGTGGGGACTGACGTGACAGGCAGAGCGAGGTAGACACTCTCAACTCTCCCTGTCACTGCTTGTCAAGTGGTGAGTGACACTTACCGCCAGGGAAGCCAGGAGGGAAGATCCTGCCGTGGCGGGAGAGCAGCCACGGGTAGAGCGGGTAGTCTCGCGGGCACGGAGGCAGCGGCGTCCCGAGCTGCGGAACCTGGCCTTGCGTCAGGAGAGGATGGGGCATGAGGTGCGTGTGGAGGTGTGGGGGCATGGTGTGGCCGCTGAGGGGCAGGAGTTGAGGCGACAGGGGCACGCCAGCACCCGGCAGGAAGTTTGGCGGTGGCAGAGACGCTGGGCTGGTGAGCGGTGACGACGCCTTCTTCTCGTCGTCGTGGTGGGTGATGGGGGAGTGCGTCCTGACGGGAGACGTCAGCGGCGACGGCGGGTGGTGATGGGGTTCCTGCCGGGCCTGGTGCACACGGATTAGCTGTTCTTTCAAGAGTTGGTCGCGTATTTGATCGCGCAGCTGTTGCTCTCGGGCGAGAAAAAACTCGCGGGGCAGGCCGAGGCTACCGAACTCGCGGGGCGAGTAGTGCGGCGGCGACTCCGGCAGCTTGGTGTAGCCTGACGAGGGCGGCGACGCTGACGATCGTTTCTCATCCCCGCAGCCCACCAGGGACTCTATGGAGAAACCGAGTCGTGGGCGTGTTGGCACCACGGGCGTGGGTGCTTGTGGCATCATCAAGTCTGGGGGGACACTAAAGTGTTCTCAGTAAGTCTAAATAACACCCCACACACTTCCAGCTTGCACACACTCTCACCAGTAAGTGTTGTTTTGTCTTCCTCGCCACAGAAAAGTCACAAGATATGAGGTCACAGGATTACAAGTTCCGTGAGCTCAGCACGCTAGGAGTTCATGCGGACTTATACGGCATACTGAAACTGTTCTACTCCTTTTACGTTGTTCTGTCTGTTCTTATCGCCATTATGAGCCAGCGTGGTCAATGATTGGTCAATTAGCACCCGATTCTCTGTTATTGCTTTTAATGGCGAACGCTCATTGGTCGTCGCTAAACTATGGCTCCGCCTACAACCCCTCAGGTGCCGATGTTTTTAATTACGAGCTATTTATTTCGCCCATTTCTCCCATCACTGTTATATATTTCGCTCTACTTCTGCTAAAACCTTTGACAATGTTATCAAATATCGATATAATACTAGATTCTGTTCAACGGTCTTAGAGAAAAACTTAATTATTGTATGATGTAGTGAATGTGAGACTTGAAGGCGGATGCCACTCAGAGCTCAACAGTTCCAGCCCACTGACTCTGCGCGCCATCTCGTGCCAAGAATGAGAACCCCCTTCAGCTCGCTCTAGCGACACACAGACAGACTTTGGTAGACCATGAATGTTCAACTCCGGATTGAGCTCTCACTGCATGATTCACCGAGAACAAATAGCAACTTGTTGGAGGGCGGTGATTAAACTACATTGCTCCTGCTGGGGCTTTGTGAATTAGATCAATCCAAGTCCACCCTCCCTAAATAACGCCAATACACTGGGACGTTGTTATCGCGGGTAATAATAATCTAGTAATGTGTCTCGTTAACATTATTGCCTCTTTCAGATCTTAAGAGCGTGTGCTAAAGCCTAAATAACTATGATAAGGGTTATTGTTAGGCAGAAGTTCTAATACATGTTGCGTTTTCACTGTATTGTATTTGTTGACTGAATTCGATTTGCGATAAATGAACAACTGAATAAAGAATAAATAGTATTCTATTTATTCTTGAATTGAAAGAATAAAGAGTATTCAGAGAGGGACCTTGTGGATTCTCACCTAATATTTTCTTCTCCTACCACTCCTATATTTTTATTTATTTGATATATATATATATATATATATATATATATATATATATATATATATATATATATATATATATATATATATATATATATATATATATGGCCTCCTCTCTTCACGGGACAGTTAATGTTAACATCATTCGTACTTTTATAAAGTTGAAATTTTCATTACTCGCAATATGTTATGATTACAGCAAAACTTTAAATATCTGTTTACTGTGATCATGTTAGTTATCATTATTCGTATCATGTTATCATTACGTTAAAGTTATTAATCATATCATGATTAAATCATATCATTAACTGGAAATTTTGTGTTCATTATTCAAGTCGTTTATTCATAGTTTATATATTTTATGCATGGTCTATGTAGTTTATATATGATTCGCATCGTTTATGCATAGTTCATATTATTTATTCATGGTTTACATAGTTTATACATTTTTCATATCGTTTATATCGGGTTTATATCATTTATACTTGGTTTATATCATTTATACAAGGTTTATATCGGGTTTATATCATTTATACAAGGTTCATATCGTTTATATCGGGTTTATATCATTTATAATTGGTTTATATCATTTATAATTGGTTTATATCATTTATACAAGGTTCATATCGTTTATATATGGCCACCATCCAGATTTGTTGTTCCCTGTATATAACATTTAATAATAAATGTAAGAAAATGAATGACAGCAACAATACATTATTATTATAATTAAGTATTAAATAGCAAAAAACACAATATAATAATAATAATAATAATAATAATAATAATAATAATAAAAATAATAAATACACATTATTTGTAATATAGGACTGTTACAATTCACAATTGTAATTGTGTGTAGATTTCGCGTGACAGGAGCTTAGGAATTGTTCTGATTGTAGCAGGTGAAACATGTGTGGGACAGACACATGTTGTAGCGACTATTTGGTGATGTTTTCCTGAGGAAGAGTGGGTTGTGTAGGACCCCAGTCTTGAGAGTATTAGGGTGCTTATCCCTGAAGGAGAGTGGGTTATATAGGACCTCAGTCTTGAGAGTATTAGGGTGCTTACCCCTGAAGGAGAGTGTGTTGTACAGGACCACAGTCTTGGGAGTATTAGGGTGGTTACCCCTGAAGGAGAGTGTGTTGTACAGGACCACAGTCTTGAGAGTATTAGGGTGGGTGGTTACCCCTGAAGGAGAGTGTGTTGTACAGGACCCCAGTCTTGGGAGTATTAGGGTGCTTACCCCTGAAGGAGAGTGTGTTGTACAGGACCCCAGTCTTGGGAGTATTAGGGTGCTTACCCCTGAGGGAGAGTGGTTGTACCCTTACCCCTGAAGGAGAGTGTGTTGTACAGGACCCCAGTCTTGTGAGTATTAGGGTGCTTACCCCTGAGGGAGAGTGTGTTGTACAGGACCCCAGTCTTGGGAGTATTAGGGTGCTTACCCCTGAGGGAGAGTGTGTTGTACAGGACCCCAGTCTTGGGAGTATTAGGGTGCTTACCCCTGAGGGAGAGTGGGTTGTACAGGACCCCAGTCTTGGGAGTATTAGGGTGCTTACCGCTGAGGGAGAGTGTGTTGTACAGGACCCCAGTCTTGGGAGTATTAGGGTGCTTACCCCTGAGGGAGAGTGTGTTGTACAGGACCCCAGTCTTGGGAGTATTAGGGTGCTTACCCTGAGGGAGAGTGTGTTGTACAGGACCACAGTCTTGAGGGTTAGGGTGGGTGGTTACCCCTGAAGGAGAGTGTGTTGTACAGGACCCCAGTCTTGGGAGTATTAGGGTGCTTACCCCTGAGGGAGAGTGGGTTGTACAGGACCCCAGTCTTGGGAGTATTAGGGTGCTTACCCCTGAGGGAGAGTGTGTTGTACAGGACCCCAGTCTTGAGGAGTATTAGGGTGCTTACCCCTGAGGGAGAGTGGTTGTACAGGACCCCAGTCTTGAGAGTATTAGGGTGCTTACCCCTGAGGGAGAGTATGTTGTACAGGACCCCAGTCTTGAGAGTATTAGGGTGCTTACCCCTGAGGGAGAGTGTGTTGTACAGGACCCCAGTCTTGAGAGTATTAGGGTGCTTACCCCTGAGGGAGAGTGTGTTGTACAGGACCCCAGTCTTGAGAGTATTAGGGTGCTTACCCCTGAGGGAGAGTGTGTTGTACAGGACCCCAGTCTTGAGAGTATTAGGGTGCTTACCCCTGAGGGAGAGTGTGTTGTACAGGACCCCAGTCTTGAGAGTATTAGGGTGCTTACCCCTGAGGGAGAGTGTGTTGTACAGGACCCCAGTCTTGAGAGTATTAGGGTGCTTACCCCTGAGGGAGAGTGTGTTGTACAGGACCCCAGTCTTGGGAGTATTAGGGTGCTTACCCCTGAGGGAGAGTGTGTTGTACAGGACCCCAGTCTTGGGAGTATTAGGGTGCTTACCCCTGAGGGAGAGTGTGTTGTACAGGACCACAGTCTTGAGAGTGTTAGGGTGGGTGGTTACCCCTGAAGGAGAGTGTGTTGTACAGGACCCCAGTCTTGGGAGTATTAGGGTGCTTACCCCTGAGGGAGAGTGGGTTGTACAGGACCCCAGTCTTGGGAGTATTAGGGTGCTTACCCCTGAGGGAGAGTGTGTTGTACAGGACCCCAGTCTTGAGAGTATTAGGGTGCTTACCCCTGAGGGAGAGTGGGTTGTACAGGACCCCAGTCTTGAGAGTATTAGGGTGCTTACCCCTGAGGGAGAGTATGTTGTACAGGACCCCAGTCTTGAGAGTATTAGGGTGCTTACCCCTGAGGGAGAGTGTGTTGTACAGGACCCCAGTCTTGAGAGTATTAGGGTGCTTACCCCTGAGGGAGAGTGTGTTGTACAGGACCCCAGTCTTGAGAGTATTAGGGTGCTTACCCCTGAGGGAGAGTGTGTTGTACAGGACCCCAGTCTTGAGAGTATTAGGGTGCTTACCCCTGAGGGAGAGTGTGTTGTACAGGACCCCAGTCTTGAGAGTATTAGGGTGCTTACCCCTGAGGGAGAGTGTGTTGAACAGGACCCCAGTCTTGAGAGTATTAGGGTGCTTACCCCTGAGGGAGAGTGTGTTGTACAGGACCCCAGTCTTGAAAGTATTAGGGTGCTTACCCCTGAGGGAGAGTGTGTTGTACAGGACCCCAGTCTTGAGAGTATTAGGGTGCTTACCCCTGAGGGAGAGTGTGTTGTACAGGACCCAGTCTTGAGAGTATTAGGGTGCTTACCCCTGAGGGAGAGTGTGTTGTACAGGACCCCAGTCTTGAGAGTATTAGGGTGCTTACCCCTGAGGGAGAGTGTGTTGTACAGGACCCCAGTCTTGGGAGTATTAGGGTGCTTACCCCTGAGGGAGAGTGTGTTGTACAGGACCCCAGTCTTGGGAGTATTAGGGTGCTTACCCCTGAGGGAGAGTGTGTTGTACAGGACCCCAGTCTTGAGAGTATTAGGGTGCTTACCCCTGAGGGAGAGTGTGTTGTACAGGACCCCAGTCTTGAGAGTATTAGGGTGCTTACCCCTGAGGGAGAGTGTGTTGTACAGCACGCCACACTAACTGTATGTAATCTGGATTTGTATCGAAGAAAGTCGGTGGATCTGAAGCCCAGTTTAAGGGGGGGGTTTAGTACCCCCCCCCCCCCAATTATCGAGGCAATGGCGTACATCTCAGCATCCAGGTGATGTGTAACCATCGTCAGACTGTCAAGTATTCTGTAGCCGTTAACAGTAACGTTCGTTACTGTTAACGAATTATTACTGTTAACATTACCGATAACAGTAATGTTTGTTAATGTTTCAAGCGTGGATTGGATATGTTTATGAGTGGGATTGGGTGGTTATAGATAGGAGCTGCCTCGTATGGGCCAATAGGCCTTCTGCAGTTACCTTGTTCTTATGTT